CACCGGCCCTCCAGGACCGAGTTTGGACAGCCCTGTTCTAATGTATCATCATATACAGTGTATCTTAGGCATTTTCACTTAACACTAATGTATTCCCTTCAGTCTTTTGTGATTTATGGTACATAAAGAGGACTTATTGTATACCAGCATTTAAGACATTCCTTTTCTGTGTTAATCGTCTATGGTTGCTGATTTACTCTTATAGTAGAGCTTCTATTGGTATTAAAACTGGGTCTGTCCACAAGCATATCAACTATAACCTGATAGATTTATGAAAATCATGTTGTTGTGTGTTTTGATCCATCAGTTGAAAGGAGTCGATCTGTTTGCAGCTGATTGTAAAATGGATCTAGTACGTAGATAAGACCTGTCTACACTGTGCAATAGAAAACTGCCTTAGAAAATGTCAAATGTGCCAAAAAAGGCAAAATTAGCCTCTAGCCTGTGCTTCCAACAGTCTGCTTTTAATACTCTCTCCCAATGTTAATTTATACCTCAGGGGAAAAGCTGTTTACATATTTAGCCTGTGTTGTACTCTTAATCTTACTGCTTAATAAAGAATTTAATGGAGAGCCCTGTGTCCTACAGTGAATGCCGATAAATTGGACAACTTTTTTTTAACCTAAAAATGTTTATGCACATTTTCCAAATCTTTACTATCATTACTATCATGCTTTTTGCATTTATTTCTAATATAAAATAACATGGTTATTTAGCAAATCTCAGCTTTTTGTCATTCATGCTACTATATTTTTTAGATGTTCAGTAAAATATATATTAGCCTCATGAAATGTTGCAGTTAGCAGCTGTTTAAATCAGTTTACATTAATTGTAAACTGAATCTTAAACAACTATGATGTGGTTTCAACCTTATCAGCCTCATATTACCTCATGTCACCTTACTGTGAGAGATGACAGCGTCGCGGACAATTAACAAAGTAACCAGTAGAGGGCGCCAAATCCCAATGGCGCTGTTGACAATCTCTTCATCGGCCTGTTGAGTCTCAACTGTCAGTCTAGTAGTTACAGGTCTGATTGTTGTCATGAAGTCTAAAGGGTCTAAATCAGTCAAAATGCACATATGACGCCCACATTGTTAATAAATGTACAAACAGTATCATACATTGTACTCAAAGCAATGACACACTATATGAAATGTTAAATATAGATCAGAAAGCACCGAACAGGACGACGCCAAATAGGCTAGTGTGCGCAGGCAGGTAGTCGGATTACACCTCTGAGAAACCATGCACGAGCTCATCATGTACGGTCTCTACTGAACAATAAATTCTAAATTTAACGTCTTGTTCTGACTCTCATTCACAATGCCGCTCTTTATCAATCGAGACCAGATTTTTGCACATCAAGTCCATCTTCTAGAGCATAAACTATGGATGAGTTTCCTCTTATATTGTCTGAATGTCAAAGAACAGGTGGGCTGGTAAATAACGTAATCTGTTTGTGTCGCTTTGATTGCATTTGATTTACAGACTACTGTCGTTATGATTTATTGCTATAATTATTTGTTTGAGCCGATAATAATTGTAGAAATTGCTATAGCCTATCCTTATAATATAATATAGCGTAATATAATATAATATAATATAATTAATATAATAAGTTACTAGACCTCTAGGCCTATGACCTCCATATTCGTTTTGTTTTTGTGTGAAGCCACCCACAAAAAGTAATGTTATTATGCAGTAGAGTACTTTGGTGATATTATGATATTCTTTGGCGTGCATTTGAATACTATGTGAATACCTTGGTATATGAATAGGGTAATTATTCAGTACCATGGTCTATAGGCCTATATCAAAATACTATAGTATTATCATCCCATACCATTAGTGTTCCATGGTATATCCGCTATAATTGTTCTTAAGGGATGGCTGTGTCTCAAAATCTATAGTGAGCTGCTGACCTAGGATAGACAGCCTTTTGTGTTTTGTAGGCTCATTTGAATGACCTATGATGCCCAGATGTGTTGTGTAGGTAGGCAACTCACTATGATTTTAAGCCACAGTTGTGTCAGGTATGCTAGGCTAGAGGATAGAGTATGACTGATGATCCGTTGAATTTTGTCATTTATTTTACTTGTATCCTTTTTATTTTAAAAATACGTTGTACTATTACATCTATTTTGTATAGTTATATACTTAAATGTAACAATAAGGCCCTCTCTTTCTTTCTCCTTTCAGAGTAAAGAGGAGCGTATTTTGGAGTTGGAAACAGAGAACGCTCTCCTTCATTTGAGACTCGCTGAGGTATGGATGATGCAAATTCTGTGTGAAATGCATCAAACTCCTCTAATGGGGTTCGACCCTCCGCCGCAGTTAAGAGTTTGACCTGCCAGATGGTTTCACTGCAAGATGAGTGGCTTGCAGACAGGCGTCAGGTGCTCGCCAGTCTCACCTAATTTACTCACGTGCTTAATATCTGTATGAAGTACAGACCAGAAATATACCTTTGGTTGGAGATCCACGTACAAAAATATTATGAAAATATTATGATAATATTTGAAGTAGATATGAGTGCAATCCAAATACCATGGTGTATAAATATGATAATCATTTTGTATTATGATAAATGATTGATTTTTTAAAATAAATTAATAATTTTATTCTGTTAGATGCATTAAATCAATAAAAAATGAGTCAACATGTTTGTTACAAAATATTTCTGTTTCTAATAAATGCTGCTCTTCTGAGCTTTATGTTCAACAAAGACTCCCTGAGAAATATTAAAACTGTTTTCAAAATTAATAATAATAATAAATACATTTTCTTAAGCACCAAATCAGCATATTAAAATACTTTTTAAGGATTATGTGACACTGGAGGCTGAAGTAATGGCTGCTGAAAATTCAGCTTTCCCATCACAAGAATAAAATAGATTTTTAAATATATATTAAAATAGAAAAAGTCCTTTTAATTTGTAATAATGTTTCACAATATTTTTGATAAAATAAATACAGCCTTTAAAATTAATTTAAAAAAATCTTAGACTCCAGACTTTTTAATGGTAGTGTGTATCAAAATACCATAGAATTACCATCTCCACAATGTTTTTTGTAAGGTTTAAAAAAACGATGTAAATGCTCTGATCAGTTTGTATTTGTTCCCCATTGACCTTTCCTTAACCTTTTCAAGTGTCTAGGTAAACTCCGCCATGAGAGGAAGGAGGAAATCCATGTCCAGAGACAGAAACATCAGCAGCAGAGGAAGGTGCAGAAGTCCACACACGCAGCTCTCTCCAAACTTCTGTCTGAAGTTCAGGTGATGGCAAAAACACTGCTTTGATGGCAAAAAAAACATTGCATTTCAATGCTGCTCATTTCATCATCATGTGCTCCGTGTTGCTCTCAGATGCTGAAACAGGACTTGAGGGATGTTTTTACCATCTACGTGGGGTTTGCTAAAGAGCTGGAGGAACAAAGCAAGCAGCTGTTTGAATGTGTGGGCACTGCCAGAAATGCTATTCAGGATTTCCGAAGTGATGACCTTCAGAGTGAGTGTGAACTCAAATACCAGTATATCAGTTCATCTGTATTGTCTATGAATATTTGTGTCTCCAAATACACTTAATGAATCTCATTCATTAATTACGTGCACATACACTTCAACTCCGAACCTCAACTCTGAACCTCCATCTCCTCTTTATTTAATCTTCTGCTCTCATTCCCTTCATTCTTCCCCATCTGTCTCTTCCTTCATCTGTCTCCTTCTCTATCACGAAAGCAGCCGTGTTGTGACAGTAGGTATGTGGTGCAGTGTTCAGAGATTATCCACACTTCCCCACCCCCAGCCTCTCCTCCAGGAAAAGCTTCTGTCAGCAGGGACAGTGAGGTTATGTGTCCTGTGTGTCACCTGCACACCATGGTGACAACCCTCCCGCAGGGCCTGTGGATCTTATCCCTTGTGTCACTGTGTCTCAAAGTGCAAATGAAAAAATCTTCCTGACAAAAAGCTTTTAAGCATACATTCAAAGATTACAGTACATGGTGATGTTTGTT